TCCTCCTCTCCTCCCCAGTGCTGGCGGCCGAGGTGGTGAAGTTCTTCTTCCCCGCCATGGTGCAGCTGCACAGCTATGTGCCCGCCAGCTCCACACCACAGAAACTTGCCAACTGGGGCCATCTCAACAGGTACAGGGGTGGGCGGCAACCCTGCTCCCCCCTCACTGGGAGCACTGTGCTGCCCCACAGAGTGTCCCCGCTTGTCCTGGCTGGGGCCTAGGCCAGCTGGGCCCCCGCTGTGGGTGCTACAGGCAGGGGGTGCGTGCATCCCTGCCCTCCTGGGTGCTGATTTGGCTCCTCTTTTAGGAAAGTGCTGAGTAAGCTGAACTTCTCCATCCCAGAAGATGTGATCCGGCAGGTTGTGCAGTGCCGGCCGGGCATGGTGGAGCAGGTGCTCCTCCTGCTGCGGCAGAAGATCGAGGAGAAGCAGAAGCAGAGCAAGGTGGTGCCTGGCCCAGGCCAGGTCAGTGGGGCTTGGGGGAAGGGGGCACCCGGTGTGCCACGTCCTGCTTGTAGATGCTATGGCTAAGGGGCTGGATAGCAACGAGGGTGAGTAGCCACCCCACAGAGAGGTCAGTATAATAAGACCAGGACCAGGCTGTGCTACAGGCATCTTTGTGGGCATCACTATCCCTCTGAGCACCTCCGTCTCCCCATCGTGAGGATCCCACTGCCATCTCCCCATCTGCAGCTCCATGGGGAAGTGCAACAGGGGGCTCAGAGGCAGAGGAACACACCACTGGGGAGCAGTGCAGGTGGCAGGGCCGGTCTCGCTCAGCAGCCACAGATGGCAGCCGTGTGCTGTTGTGGGAAGCGCCGCGGCCCCGCTCACTCCACAGCCTTGACTTGGCCTGGGCAGCCCGGGAGGAGCCACTGTGAGCCGAGGAGGAGAGGGAACACTGTCTCTATCACATTCCTTCCCCACCACCCATCACTTGGCCCTCCTCGCTGCACTCCTCACTCATGTGAAGCCTCTGAAGAGGAGCAGGGAGGGTGTTGGGCATTGTGTGGGGCTTGGCAGCGTGTGCTGAGCGTGCAGCTCCAGGATGGGGCTGGCAGCAGCAGCTGCCTCCTCTCCTGCCCTGTCCCAGTCCTTGCGGTGTGAGAGGAGGATAATGAACCTGTGGAGTTGGGGCAGGTTGGGCTGTCTGTGCCAGCGACTCTGGTGCTCAGGTCAGAGGAGGAATTCACTACAGGAAGGGTTGTGGCTGTGCAGCAGGCAGGAATTCAAGCAGACGTATCCCAGCCTTGCCTTCAGGCTGTAACGCCCAAGCAGCCAGCATTGTAGCCATGCTGGGAGCTCCCTGCTCTGAACTGGCCTCTCCCACTGCTGTGCGAGCAAACTCCCCACCCTGGCACTCCCCATGGCCTCGAGCCCCAGCACTGCTCAGAGAGGGGTGGCAAGAGCAGCCAGGCAGGCTGGGGTACCCTGTCCCCCCTTCTCCCGGCACTAGGGCCCAGCCAGCCCCCTCCCTGCACAGGGGATGTTTGTGGGCTCACCCATGGGGAGACCCTTGGCTTGTGGTCAGGTGTGACCAGCGTTTTCCTTCCTTGCCATGCAGGAGCCGGGCGTACGGGCAGCGCTGGAAGAGGTCAACTACCTGGAGACAGGTAGGGCCAGTGTATGGCATGTCGGGAAGGAGGGTCCCATCCTGGCTGTGATATGGGCTCTCTGGGTTCAAATCCCAAACCATGAGCTTTCTGGTCCCTGGAGGGGGGG